GACTGGGATCATTGCAGCACCTTGATTCATTTTTTGGTTGCCTAGACTCAGCTGAGTCTATTTGGGGTTTCAACAGCTCGAGGAACATGTTTGACAAACAGAAAATATAGGGAATGTCAATTCTGTCGGGGTGCATGTCACATGTTCATCCAATCCGATGATCCGATTCTCGACCCGAAGCTTGGCAAGGGCGGGTGGCTTGCGCTTGAGCCATTTTGCACCAGGAGGTGCATTCGTTGAGCGTGGGACGCTGGTTGGTTGAGAAAAGAAGCTTGCAGCTACGGTCGAGGAGTGCAGGGCACCCGGGGATATCCAGTTGTTGATTGGACAGGGATCCATACCCAATTTGGTGCTGGAATTGAGTTGTTTGCATTGCTTTTGTTTTGAGAGCCCTGAACCGGAAGACTCCAATGCCAGTTTGCAAACCATTGGCGGTTTGTAAGATTATTCATGGTTATTCCAAATTGAATTATTCTCTTCCAGGCATTTACCCCTCTCCAGCATGGAAAGCATGGAAAGCACCCTCCTTGTATGTTAGCTTCCTCCACGGCTGTAATGCTGCCAATCCCTTTCTCGTCACCTCTCAAAACCTTCGGGCCGATGCCACGATCCTCCCGGCAGAACGAGCCTCGGCACAGGACCTCTCCAGCCTCACTTTCAGACGGTGTCGGAGCCATGCCATCGGAGCAACATCCGGTCCAGTCAGGTCGCATCCCGTCGGGGCCGTCATGTGCCATGTTGCAGAAAACAAAGTAAAAACATGGCGGCCCATGTTGAAATTTGCAGCCGGGACTGAGGCTGCTGACGTATTTCAATCGTATCTCACGGTGGGGCCCCAAAACCCTCATGGCTTTCAGCCAAACACCAAGACTGGTCCAGGAAAATGACTGGTGATATTGGCTCGGATATATAGATAAATCCCGGATGTATATAGATGAATCCAGCACCATTGAAGCTTTGTTGTGTGAAGATTCGACAGTCTCAGGACCTTGTTGAGTGGTCCTGGTCCCGGTCCCTGCGAACACGGACGAAGCTTGTCAATGAAAAAAGGCCGCGTTCTCATCAGAGCGGCTGTTGCTGCAATCTCAGTGCCTTCACCAATTCTGCTCCTTTGGCTTCCTTCTGTTCCCTGCCCATCAAGGCTGTGCACCACACCGGGCTTTTGGACTTGGACTCAGCTGCCACTTACATGGTGCTTCTGGACCAGAATGGCAAAGGGCATATGAACCAATGATGTCTCTTCTATATTTTAGGATTTTAGGGGCCCACTGTCTGTTTAGAACCTTTGGGCATCTTTGGGCATAAAAATGCCCTTGCTTCGCACATCGCCTCAGCTGGCAATTCTCCCGCAGCACTGCTTCCAACAAGGGCTCTGAACCTGGCCAGTGTCCGAAAAGGACAGAGTGAAAGGAGAAGATTTGAGAAGAATTAATTCACATCAGTCTAACAAATTCAGAGGAATGCAAACAAACTGGATCAAACAAATGGGACCACCACTCAGTGACGCCCCAGCCACTCTCCACATCGCGCCACAAGTTGGCGTCGCGTCGCAGTCATTTGGGTCCAATCAAAGCCGAGGCACACCCCAAAGACCCAGTTAGGCCCTGCACCCATTGGATTCTCCTATTTTTGTGCAGGCACCAATGTCTCCGTGGCCCAAAGTGAATTGAACGGATTTTTTCGCGCGAACATTGGCAGGTCCCCAATAAGCCTCTCAGGTCTGCTTGTCCACTTGTGAAGATGGGATGCGAATGAACAAATGAACCAACATGGAACGCAAAAGCATCACCTAGGGTCAGAGGTTGCCACACCGCGTATACAAAACCTGATCAAGACTTTATGACTGTGTGAATGACGGGAGCAACATTCTTGAAAACCTCGAAATCCTCGTTTTATGGAGTGACCAGGTTGAAACTCAAGCACTTGGGCACCCAAGGACCGAAAGGTCTAAAGAGCAGTTTGCCCACGTGTAGGAACCCTTTCTCGACCCAAAGGGGTCGTCTATCGTCCAAGGGCGCCTGCAGCTCCACTGGGTGAGAGGCTTCTTTCCCACGCCTGCGCGGCGCCGCAGTTCTGCGCCGCGGTGGCCGAGGCTACAACGCAGCGGGTGACACGAAGAAAGGCGGAATGCTTCAAAGAAGGTGTACACAAGGTGTACTTTTTTGTCTTTTTTCAGGCTTTTGGGCTGAAAGTGAAGAACCTCGCCATCCTCTACTTCTTATCAACTCCAGCCAGCAAGCCTCGAAAATAGGATGTGTTTGATCTGCCTCTCGCAACGTAGATTTCCTTAACCTTAAGACAACTTAAGTAGGCTGCTCATGGCTGCTACCGGGTACTCGCAATTTAGATTTCCTTTAAACTTAAGATACCTTAAGTAGGCTGCTCATGGCTGCTACCGGGTACTGCGGTTGTGGTTATTCTCAAGTTTTGGTTCGATCCAGTCGCTGGATGCTGCACATATGTTTTCCTTCAAGTCGTTGCGGGGCAGAAACAAATCCAAACCATGATCAAATCCAGCGTTTTTCCTGCCAACGACTTACCAGTAGCTACAAAACGCTTAAACAATCAAGTCTTGGACTTCACATCTCTCAGAGAACCGAGAAGAACCGCCCCGTGACGAAAAATCGAACATGTCCGCACATGTCCGCACCATCTCCTGCCTGTGGAAAACTTCCCTCCTCCGGAGGCAACGTCCGAGCCATCGCGCGCCGGCTCAGGCGCTGTGGAGCTGTTGGGCAACGCGGCGACGCCGAGGCGACGCCCCCGGTGGACGGCACTGAAGAGAATGGCTTTGGATGGGGCGAGGGTTTTCAACTTCTAGGTGAGTGGTAGGTGACACGGTAGGTGACCTATATCTCCTTGTGGCACCACTGTTCAGCAAGAAAAGAGATACCTTTTCCGCTGCGTTCAGGCATTGTTCCAGCATTCCAAAAGTATGAGAAGGCCAATGTTGAAATATGTTAAAGTGTGCCCTCAGCGTTTAAAAAGTCCTGGAACTCATGAGCTGGCTCAATCAGTGGTTCGTTCATGACGTCTGCGCAACCCTTGAGCTGAAAAAAGGCACCAGTTGTCTTCATCCACCGTAAAGGGGAGGGACCTCCGACTCGAACGGAAGTAGCTGGGATGACTTTCAATCACCCGATCGAAGCGCAAATCTGAAGCTTGTGACTGGGGAGGACGGTGCAGTAACTCCCGGAGCCTGGGGGAGGTGCCTCTGGTGTCTGGATTGATTCGCACGCAGTCCCATCTCGGTTCCATATCTTCCGAAAGGGTTCCTGATAGGGTTCCGTTTAGGACGAACCAAGGGGTGACCCTGGTGAGCATTGAACGTCTGCTCGAGCGCGTCCTATTGCCACTTCATGTCCATTTGCCGAGTACTTGCAAGAAACTCATCGAAAACCTGAAATAGAAACCCCAGCTTTTGTGTGCGTGGTGTGTGGGGCTTCTGCCCTCCCAGCAGGTCGTACTTTGCTTTTTCATGCCTCTTGTGCGCAAGCCAGGTTCAAAATGTTTAAAACATCGTGAGACACCCTCTGATGGCAAGGAGTGCTTCCCAGGGTTCGTCAAGGATGTTCCACTTGACTGACAAACCCTGTTCATTGTATAAAGACATTAGGACGCTACGTTGTTGTACCCACTTCCATACTCGACAGCTCTTTCAGCATCTGCAAGTCTTTGATGAGCGCAAGAGTTTGACTTCACTGATCTTGGATTCAAGCATCTCCACACTGCTTTGTAACGACTTAGAGAGCGCTTCGCCGGCTTTCCAGTGGCGCTCCGTGGCTATTTTTTCAGGGAAAATCAAGTCGATCAGTCTTGAGATTTGGGAAAGTTGGGCGTTGAAACCTGATCTCCCAAGACATGAAGACGATTGGAAGTAAGTGCTTCTCGAGGTGCTTTCGAAGTGCATTGAAAGTCACAAGGTGGCCCCAAGAAATGCCGACATCAATAGAAACCCTTTTTGGGTTCCAGGGGCCTGAGGCCTAGACGCCCATCCAACCCGGCAGGCCAAAGTCAATGCTCCAGGATCTCTTCCAGGTGAGACTCATGTGCGCGGGTCATGTCCCTCTTGTCCAGGTGCGTCAACTGCCTGTCAAGCTACTTGATGAAGGCATGCTGCTCAAACAAAAACACAGACTGATGAAGTGGCTCGATCCTTGTGGTCGACCGGGACTTTCTTCGCACACAACTGAACACGGCCGAGCCATAAATTAGGGGATACACAGGTACATTTCTTTTAATTCTAAACATAACAAGAAACCTTGGCGAGTTTGTATCAAATGGTGAAAAATCCAGGGACATTCAAGCCTATTTTCCAGTAAGTCTGAAAACCCAATAGTTGTGATTTTACTTCATCTCAAAATCTGTGAACGACTATCCCCGGTCCCATCTACTCAGGCGGGGCCATTTAGAACCGTTCAGATACGTTTGGTACCCCCCAGTTTAACTGGTCCCTAGAACTTACAAGATCAGTGGTTGCTTATGGTTACATGCATGTATACGCACATCACATCATGTGCATAATATGTTTTGTGCATAGCTTTGGTCGTCTGGAGCGGAGTTCCACTGAGTTCACTGGGCTGCTTATATAATATGTGAACAGGTAAATATATATATATGTGTATGATTTGATATATAAAATATAGCATAGTTATATGCTGTAATATGATTTTAGGATGGAGTCATGCGAAGACCTGAATGACAATGGAGATCCCAACACAATGATGGAGGCACATATATTGCCGACGGGAGGAATGAGGTCTTGGCAAAGAAGCCTTGAGAATGTGGAGAGCTGAAAGCATCCAGGTTAACACTGACTTGAACTCCTTCGCCGTAGCTAAATGGGTCAGGAGGATGACTATGACAGCCTTGATTGGTTGAATTTTGTACCGTTTTTGTCTTGCTTGATCCAAAAAAGAGCATCATTCCTCTGCCAAACCCGCCTTTTGCAGATTTGGATTGCTTTGAACAACGGGCACTCTTGCCTTCGCCCGACTTCGTCAAGACGCCGTGGGCCGCAGGGTGGACCGCAAGGAAGCGTCAGGGACATTGGGCGGCACAGGTGACCTGATGGCAAACGTCACCGGCATTTTTCGAGGTGAATTTTCAAGCTCTTCGGAGTTGTGGCCCTTTTTGGGTTCGACCGGACGTCGAAACTAGTTTGATCAGCAATCCATTTGTTCGCCGGTGGCAGGCGTTGGAGACTTGACCGCAGACTGTCTCGACACATCATTAGGCTCTCGTCGTGACTCCAATGCGATGCACTCTCACCCCTTCTGTGTTGCAACTGAACTAAAGAACCAAACGATGATGTTCGTGTCTGCTCCGTAAATAAACAGAACTGCTGAACGCTCAAATGGACACAACATCCATGGAGAGATGGAAAAGGGGAATCAGCAGCACGGTCAGAAATGAAAGCATTGAATACTCATTTGGACGCAGGTGTTTATACTCATCAAACAACATATCTGTCAAAATACCAGTCTGATATTACCATATATATATACATATGCTACCCTCCCCCCAAAGATCCGTATGCAAATGTGTTTCAAGTCGAAGACCCAAGGAAAAATCCGTATTGGAGATAACAGAAAGGAATATTCCTATAGGGAAGAGATCAGTCAGAGACTTTGGAACCACATATTAAGGAAGGAAAATGAAGGGAAGACAGAGACAGCAGAATGACACGGAAGAACATGATAAGCTCTGCTTATTCTATAGTTGCAGTTTCTTTATGTTATCCATGCATTCTCCTTACAATCTTTGCTGCTCTTGTTCTTAATTCTTACATAATTATATGGTGTAGATAAATAAACAAAAATGAACATAGGGTTTCATATATGCTAAGCATGTTTATTGTGTCGTATAAATAACATATAGAATTATTCTCAATTGGAAAGAACAATAACCTGATCCTGATCCAATAAAAAGCATGCAAAAGTAGTAATACAACTCTATTTGTTGGATCCTGAGTGCTTATCAGAAAAATAAAAGTATGTACAAAAGCTACATACAAATTCCATAAGGCAAAACACAAGAAATCAAATAAGCATCAACAAAGCAACTATGCCGCCTGTTCAGCTGCAAAAAGCTTCCTTCCAAGCATAAAAGAAAGCAAGGGAGGAAGGAGGATGGTTTTACCAAAGAGTTCCTGCATGTAATCTAATTCCGCGCAACCCCCAGGCAAAACCATATTTCTTGCTTTTAGAGTCATCTTGTGACTTAGAAATGCAGCCTATTGAATGCAGCTTAGGAAGTACATCAGAGTCAGAAAGAAAAAAAACTGCAAATCCATGACCGAATTCTAAGTCTATATAGTATTTTATTTTTCAATTTTAATTCAAACCTATTCAATTCGACTCTAATTTAACTCTAATTAGTTCTCTTTCAATTGTCCCTTAGTTTTACTTTGATTCCAATATATTCTAACTATATTCAATATAAAGTCTATTGTAATTGTGAATCAATGCAAATCTAATTCAAATCCAATTTTGGTGTATATATGATCGATTTTAATTAACGTTTAGATGCAATTCAGATTCGATTCTAACTTGATTGTGTTCTTTTTCCAATATAGTTTTAAGTTCTAAAACAATTCCGATGTACTCTTCTAAGAGAGTGGGTGTTGCTTTCACAATGAAAGCCTTTACACATTTTGTCAGTATAGAAGTATTTGCTTTCTTAAATTCACACCCCCAGCAACACCCGCTCTCTAGAACGAAATCAGAATTGCATTAGAATTCAGTTTGCATTGAATTAGAAGTAAATTTGCATTGAGTTGGCTAAAAAAGTTGAATTAAACTAGAAATAAATAGGAATTAGAATCGTATCAAGGCAGAAATAAACGCGATGTAGAAAGAAACTGAATCAGAACTAAATTAGAAATAAATTGGAATTAACTTAGAATCAAATTAGAACTGAATTAGACGTCAGTTGGAATTAAATTAAGATTGAATCGAAATTATACTATTTAAATTAGAACTAAATTAGTATTGAATCAGAACTAGAATGATAATCAGATTAAAACTAAATTTAAAGTACAACTATATAAACTAGAATTGAAAAAGTTGATACAAAGTAAAAGTAAAATTACAGACTCAAATTAAAAAGTAAACTTGAATTCAATTGTATAGACTCAAATTAAAGTAAACAAAGAATCAAAATGAGATTAACCTAGAAATACATTGAACAAGAGTGACATAATTGAGTTAGAATTAAACCAAAATTGAATAATTGAATTAGACATACACTGGGTATATATAGACTTAAACAAATTGAGTTCGATTCAAATTACAAACAAAACTAAAACTGAATCAAAATTCATTTGGAATCAACATAAGATGAGAATGAATCATCAATTGTCAAAAAAAAATAAAATTTGAACAATATACTATTACAAATGGTTCTTTTCGGAATTAGACTTAAATGATAATTAAAGTTGAACTTATTATTTTACTGAAACTATTTCTTGTTGTTTGTTTGTTATATTGTTTTATTTTGCTTACTTTATTTTCTTTGTTTTTTTGTTTCTTTTTATGCTTCGATTGTTTGGTTCTTGTTTTTTCCTTTCTTCTTTTTTCCAAACGATGTCTGAATCCCCACTCCAGATAACGATGATACAGGAGATAAAATATGCTAAATTCATGTTAAATTAAACTGTTGAGTTAAACAAATAAGTTAATTAAAATTGTACAATACTGAAGTTAGAATTGAACTGGACTTGAACTTTAATCAATTAAAAATGAATGTGAATTAGAGTTGAATTAAAATAGAAACAAATCAGAATTATATAAATTAGAATTGAAATATAAATAAACTAGAATTAAACTACAATTGAATTAGACATAAAATTGAATTGTAACTTAATGAAAATGAAATTTAAAAAGTCAACAGAATTAGAATAGAATTGAACTAGCATTCAAGTAGAAAAGAATTAGAATTAAATTAGAATTCAGTTAAAACAAAGTTGGAATTACACCATGCCCACGTCTCTCAATTGGGAACAAGACGGCTGGAACTAAGTGCCGGAGTTATGAAGTAGAATGCTATTAATCAGGATTATTTCAGGATCAGAACAAAACCTCTCGAAAACCAAAAAAACAAAAGCAAAAACATAACAAAAATACACAAAAAGACCCCCCAAAAAAACATACCCACAAACAAAAATAACAATATGTCCACAGCTAGTCTGATTTTTGGACTAGTTGCCCAATCATTGTGTTTTTTGTCTGTGCTGTGTTTTTGTGTATTTTGTTGTTTTTGTTTGTTTGTGTTGTTTTTGATTTGTGTTTTGTCTTTTTTGTTCTCTGACTTTGGGTTTTTTCCTGACCACTTCAGATTGATTTGTGCTTCCAGACAAGAGTCACTATGGAACAATGTTCTTTTAACTTAAGTATGATGAATCCAGCGCACATATGTACAAATCATATGCACACGATGTGATGTGCATTGCTGTATACATATGCACAAAACATACGCACATGATGTCATGTGCATACACATGCATGTAACCATAAGCAACCACTGATCTTGGGAGGTTGGGAGGTGCCATATATATATAAATACAAACAAAGACCTTCAAAGTGACGGTTTGAGATCCCAGGATGAGGTCACTTAGGCTGAAAAGGTCACTTAGAAGGGCCTGGTATCTACTTATTTATTATAGATACATTGTATGTGTTGTTTGATTGTTATATATTATAGAAATATTGCACGTATATAGTAATATCTAATAATAGCTATTTAACAATGTAATGGCATGTAATGGCTATCATATATTATACATCCATGTATGTCCACAGCAGAAGCACAACGACCCCCATTCCACCGTGTGGCGATGTCATGTGCTCACTGCCCAGGTCGGGCGACCTGAAAGTCGTTGGGTCTCGGTGAGACGGTTTTCAGTCACCGAGGTGAACACCGACATGGACGGTGAGAGACCGGAATGGACGGTGAACGTCGATCCCGATGGGATATGGCAGGATGAGGCGACGCCGAATTTATGTGAAGACGGGCAAAGAAAAACATGAAGAAGGACATCTTCCATGTGTTACGAGAGAATCTTCATTTGCCACCCGAAATGGGCAAATGACGTGAAGATCCATTAACACCCTCCTAAGATTCTTGGCACATCTCTGGAAGCCTCGAGATCCGCAAAAGGAATTCCGCCTGGGCTTTGAAGGTCTGTTCAGGGTGTTGTTCACCTCTACACATTGGGAGATCCAAAGACGGCCGCGCTTTGCGCGGGGCGCTTTTTGTTTCCGAGACCCCCAGCAGGTAGCTTCGAGAAACTGGTTCGAAGGGCCTGAAAAATCAAAGCGAAAGTCAGGGATGGATCCTGTCCAACTCAATGTGCTCTTGAACTCTAGTGGCTTGCAGTTTATCCTTTTGAGAAGTGGATATAACATATTGGTCGTACGCAGTAGGATGCAGCCTATAGCTATACATGCCGAAGCCACAAAGAAAGCACTTGACTCGTCACTCGACTCGGTTGCTAAACATGCTAAAGACCTCTGAGGTGGCCACAGACTCCGTCGCAGCTCCTCCGTACTCGGGGACCTCGAGAAAATAGATGCTACTAGCGATGGCCTCCAACCTACTAGTGCTGTTGAGTTGCTGGGGGACACACGAGTTGCTAACCGATGGCCAGGAGATTCGGTTTAGCACCGCACATGTTGGATCCGTAATGAATGTTGGCTCAGCATGGTCCAGCTGCCATCCACATGTAGCTTGCGCGGCCAAAACTGCCCGAATCAAGCCTGTATGAAGCTCTAGAGGCTTGACTGCACAAAACCTCACCACCTGACTGGTCACCTGACTCCTGGTTGTGGCACTGTGGCACGCTGTCTGTTAAGTCACTGTACTGTTGCTGAATGCACATCACAGTACACTCTGCGGTGCGTTGTGTGGCACTTGCGTGCATCTTCTTTTGTCAGGCAAAAACTAATCTGCTCTTGCGGACCATCCGGCACGCCGTTGTCACTTGGAGTGACCAACCATGCTGAAAACGAAAGTCCCCTCGACCACAGGTTTGGTGTTTGATGGAACAAAAACGAATTAAAAACGTGCCAATCAAGTTGACGGCGTCCTCAAGATTCCCTCATGACATCATAAAACCAACGAAGGTTGGCATCCCCAGTAAGATCCTGGCCGAGGGCCTTGCGGCTGAGTTTCTAGTGAGATCTGCCAGATTCTGCAAAAAGGATCCGAAGAAGACTGGGTGAATCATGGTTAATTGATTCAGAAAATTGCATTTCCGGCTCCACAACTCGTGTTCTTCAGAACTCTCCACAAGCGATTCCAACGGCAAATGCGGCCAAACTCATCACCGGCAACGACACATCGGGTGACCGCAACGAAACGCCACGATTTCCTGAGCGTCAAGGGACTGGAAGCTCGGTGACCTCGGGAGGTGTGTCAAAATGCGTCAGATGTGTTCGGTCCAAATTCGGGAAAAAGAATTAGAACTCCACTTAGTAGCTTCTTGTTACTATAGTAGTAATGGCCTCCAACCTAATAGCGATGGCCTCCACCTGCTTCTTGTTGAAAGTTCGAACTCCAGACAAACGCAGAGACAGCATCCAGATGCCATCTGGAAGGGCAAACTCGGGTTGAATTTCCCTTTGCAGGAACAAGATGACTGCAAACTATTGGCAAAATGAGCCCATTCATCATCCTTCATCATCCACATATATTTTATATATAACACCTAAGCAAAGTATCCAGGTCTTGTTCATGTACGACTTCGTCATGCCCCAACTGCCGACAGGTCTCAATCCTAGTCATCACAATCCCCCAAAAAAAACAAGTAATAAAGGCCAGTGACCTGGTCACCTGCGCCGCCTGCCGCAAAGGGCTTGATCCATAAGCCACACTGCTCGGCAAAGGACCTCGATGGAAATCGGAACTTTCCGGAACGGAGCTGGCACAGGAGGAACGAAGACGAACGATACGAAAGACTTGTGATCATTGTTACGGCATGTTACGGCTTGATTCCGACTCGGACGAGATAGGGGAGGAGAAAAAGTTTGGTGCTCTTTTTGTTGCTTCCTTTTAGGGACTTTTTGAGCGCCCCAGGTGTGGAGGATTCTTGCTTGGTGTCATGTTCCCAGCAATTGAAGACCAAGGTACGAAGGGGTGGCGCAAGATAACCTCAGATATCGATGTTGTCAAGCAAAATTTAAGCAAGATCTTCAGTGACACATAGAATGCACATCATGTGCGACGAAAACCATGTTCTAGGTTTGAGTCCAGCAGTGCTCTTCGATGCTCTTTGTGCAGACTGCACTCCCAAAAAATACAAACTACGAGTAACAACAACAAGAAAAGAACATGGCCCACAAATGCTTGTGACTTATCCAACTACAGTGCCACGACATCCAGTTGTGGCGCCAGAACTCATCTCCAAAGAACTTCCCATTGGCTTTGGCGGCAACGGTCGAAGAGCACGGCTGAGTTCAGCTCTCAGCAGCTCCTGCAATGGTTTCCAGTTTCCGCTGGATGCCTCCTTTGGTGGGATGTGAATCAACAGGGACTCGACACATCAATGCCAGAAGCTTTATTTTGACTGGTTTCTTGCACACTCCGGACACGTCTCAAGGGAAGGCTGAATGTGATAGGGCGTGTGACTAAACTATTATATAATTTGAAGTTCATAAAACAAGCTCTACATCGAACTCTGATCCAAATATATATCAAATGATAATATCAAATGTTGCTTTCGCACAACCGCAAGCGGGCTTAGGGATATTCGTGGTTGTCTGTAAAACTGTTGCTTCCCTCTCCAGCGCTCGAGCCAGAAACGGGGGTTGGTCTCCCTCAAAACCAGCACGAAGAACCATGAAGGAGCCCGTAGTAGTGTCCTTGTTCCTAGTAGTAAGGCCAGGAGCCCCTAGTAGCGTCCTTGCTCCCAGTAGAAAGGCCAGGAGCCCCTAGTAGCTTGTCCCATCGAAGATATTTTCATTCTCAGCTCGATTGATTCGATTTACCGTTCTCCTGGCCCCTGGCTAAGGATTGGAGTTCCAAGAGCGCCGCCTGTCGGTGGAACAGGAAGTGATCATGGAAACGAGGCAAGGTGTCTGTAATTTTCCAATCACTTGTTTTCATTGGTCTACCTCCGCTCTTTGCAGTGAATGAACCTCTTCTAGAAGTTCCAAATGGGCGTTTAAGACCTTTCCAAGAATTCCCAGCTGGGAGGCATCGCCCCAGTGCTCCATCCTGCTCCGGCTCCGACTCATCCACTTACAACCTACCAACCCGCATTTTTTTCTAGAGACCTTAGGTTATCTCCCCCCCAGCAAACTACTAGGAGCAAGGACGCTACTAGGGGCTCCTGGCCGTACTACTAGGAGCAAAAAAGAATTAACGTCCTTCTGAACCTTGTCGTCTGTTGCAGGCGCTTCTTTGTCCATTTCGAAGCAAGCACTGTTTGACCATCTGTCTATCCTGCGAAGGTGTTTTTTTCAGGTCCTTCTTCAACCGCCTGTGTCTTGGGATAAAGAACTTTGCCCGGGGCTGACTGATTCGGTGGGACCTGGCTACTAGTTCTTGGAGACGTTCTCAAAAGCCAAAATAGTGATGCTGGAATTGCTGAATGATCTGGAAAATGCATCTTGGCCAAGAACCCTCAAGCATCATCATAGAATCATATCTGGAAAGCTTAGAATCAGCATGTTCATCATTTCATCTCTCATTGATTTTTCTCTCTTCACGATGCCCAAAGCTCCAAGAACGGCTTCGCTCACCTGCATCTCTTTCTGCCGGGCCGCGCCGAGCTCAGCATACTTCCTGAGCGTGGCTGGAAACACAGATGCCGAGGGACCGTTTTGGGGGGCAAAACCAAACCATCCATCACTCCAGAGGATCACATTTCAGGAAAAAACATCTACTGCCGATTGCTCAAAACTGTTCAACTGACACCATGGAGCGCAACTGTAGGCAGTATCCTTTTAATATCCTCACATTCTCAGGGGACGATACTTCCTTCCAGCAAACAAACTGAATGGTGGATTCCTTCCCCTTTCGACCTGCATCTTTGGTGCCTGAAGCACAAGCGTCGTCACGACCAGGCCTTCAATTTGGGTGAAGGATTTGAACATCTCTCTCCTACAGTTGCGCAGAAACACATCAACAGTCCACCAGCCAGGTCCAAAGCTCAGCCGGCATTCCATGGCCTGCAGAATCAGCAAAATGGTTCCAAACATAGACACTGAAAATAAGGAAAGTCAAGTTCACACAAAGGAATGCCTCAAACAAAGCACTAAAATAGAAGAATGGCCGACCCAACTGCCGACCCAATTGAAACACACAAATGCCATACGACATGGAACACCATCAAAGTCAAAACCAATAACTAAGTAGATGAGGAGCAACAGGACAACTTAGAACTGCAAACGACCGAACAAGTTGAAAAGAAAACAACTAACTTCCACAACCAGCCTTCCAAATCTAATGGCAAAAACATTTTTCGGCTGCTCAGCTCTACCGGGCGCCTCCTTCTCCGCTCTGGCGCGGCAACTCAGCTCAGCTTCTTTGGCCTTCTCACTGCTCGCCTTCACCGACAGAACGCGTGATCCCCAGGATTTTTCGACCAAAAGCCGACGCTTGATCTCAGGTCACCTGATCTCAAGTCACCGGGTCGGGACTTGTGGAGTTTGATGAGGCTTGATCTGAGTGGTGCCCAGTATCCTACGGTACCTATAGTAGAGGTCATTGCCTCATTCTTTTCAAAAAACACCACTCAGTAATTTGGGGGGGCTATGAGTTTGGCAAAAATGTTGAGTCCCCTTCACGACGCCAGGCCCTTCAATCGCCAGGTCTTCAGTTGATCAAGCTGTTGGATGCTGTTGGCAGGGTCTCATCAAGAAAGCGCCTGGGGGTCGAAAACTTATAGGTACATAGTGGTAACCAGAATACACCGCTGGGATTTATATGGACTTATGACCTTCCTTGCTATTCGCCATGCGCTACTTCGACCCGGTCAACCGCAGCCCGTCCCCGGTCAATCCCAATTCCTTCGTTCCAAACGCACGTGATCTTGATTTGTCGCCCGGCCGGACTCGAAACCTCATTCGCCAACGAGTATGATCAGTGTGGGTGAATGCCCACTTCAGCATCGTTGTGTTGCAAAGCCAAATGACCAAATTATGATAAATTAAGGTGCCCAAAAACAAGAATATCCCAACCAAACTCCAAAAGGATCTGCAGAACCTTTTTTCTCAGGAGCTTGGAGTTGTGCATGGGTCTTCTGACCCCAGTCGTTCACATCTCAGTCGTTCTCAGATCTTGCAGTGTCACACCACTGCCAATCACTTGAGCCAAATGCCCCGGTCACGTGGCACATTTTGGTGACTTTTGTGAACATAAAACTCGCACACGCAAGGGCAAGTGTGAATATGTTACAAGCAGGCTGATCTTGGTGTTTCTGGGCACTCCTCACTATTCCTAACCCAAAAATACGCCCAAAACGGACAAGTCCTTTGGTTTCAGGCTCTTCGCTTTCTCCCTTCTGCTTCCTTTATCCTTCTCAATCCTTCTCCTTCGTTACCCTCTTCATTTCAGTTGTTTTTTCCAATGGTATTCCTCTACTGTTCGCCACTTCCGTCCCGGGTCCTGGGTCCCGCCTTGGCGAAGCGCTCGGCCGAGGCGATCTTGGACTCCGCCAGGCGAAGCGTCTCCTGGCACCGTCCACCGCGGTGTCTCGTGGTTTTGCTCGTTTGGTTCGACGACATGCAGGATGGGATCCTCGAAACTCATCTGTTTTCTCAAAGCTCCAAAAAGCGGCAAACTAGATTTACAATCAAACTCTTTGGTGCCACACAAAGGCCTGCTGAGGACTAGAACATCTGCCTCCGCTTTTTAGGGAAGGATGATACCCAGTGCTGCTTTAAACCGTTCTTTACGAGAAGTGACGGTTTTGGTTTGGCTGCCAAGGTGACGTGTGTGTTGACCATGTGATCAAAACGCGTTTTCTCATGTTTTCTCCCTATCAAGAGGGATTGCCAATCTTCCGTATTGCCAGTCTTACCTGTAAAACATGGACTAAGGACATGCTCACGCGTGCTACACGAATTCGTCGAAGGTTTTCTTGTCTTTGTCTGCACTGCACGTGTGTTGATGCTGATGTTGGGATGCACGGTTGCGGGTGTGCGTATGCCATGTACGCATGCCCTTCAAGGCAGCATGTGCCATTAATTTTGCATATATAAGTGCCTTAACGGCCTTAGCCAATGCTTGTTGAGGGAGCTGAGGATCTGAGGCAAGGATCTAGACAAAGAAAAAACAAACAACATGTTAAGCTGCGCAGCTGCAGACTCAAGGACCCCATTCCACTCCTCAGAGTCGTTCCGGTGTTGCTTCTCTTCCTCCAGGCGTCTCCTTGAAAAGCTTGGCTTTGCGCCGGTTGGGACTTTGGATTGACTTCTCCGACCTCAGAGCCTTAAAGTCATGATGGTAAATGTGACTCAATTGTCCGCCCGCAGCAAAGGTGCTGAGGCGTCGTGCAAGCTTCGCACAAGCCGCAGCACAGCTGCTGGATTAATCAGTCAGTAGTGTGCTTTAGGTTGTGCTTTGAAGTTTTGTGAAGATGGATAAAAGCTGTGTGGTTTCGGAAGTAAAAGTTCGCGATGCCGGCTATGCAGCCCGGGGGACACTGCATTGTTGACATCATGGGGGTGCTCGTCCGTGTGTCCTGCGCGAAAGAGTAGAGAGCGAGAGTTACTGACATACCGAGACAGACAGACAGACTGACTGAGACCAGACCGAGACGGACAGACCGAGACAGACCAACCGAGACAGACCGGCTCCGACAGCACAAGTTGCTGCTTCCCACACCAGTAACCAACCCGTATCCTTGTGGGGTGCTACTGGCACAAAATCCATTTAATCTGTGCGGCGGCTTCTACAGCGAAGCAGTGTGAATACTCACTTGTCATTTCGACTTCCAGCTCTTCAGCCAAGATGCTCCAGCTGCCTCTGTTGGGCTTCCGCCTCCTTCAAGTGCTCCTCCAGGGAGGCCATCGCCTGCTGCGCCTCGTCCTTCTGCCTCGCCCGAGTGGAGGCCGTGGAGTCCCAAAGGCGCTGGACCATGGTCTGGTCTGGACAGGTGTGTGCTTCAAAACCAAGGTCGTCTTCGGGGTCTTTGTCCTCAAAAGATAATATGATCACTGATCACATCTTCCTCATGGGCATTGGCCTGAATCGATTTCTTTGCTCAACCGAAAGTGCCAAAGGCTTTATGTGCACTTGAAAGGAAGGACTGTGCGGCATAGTCCAGAAATCCAAAAAGAATCGGCGAAGGTGAGTTTGACCATGTTTGACCAGACCCAACTCACACGCAATCAAATGCCAAACTAGTAGCCATGGCCTCCACCCCAGTAGCGATGGCCTCCAACCTACTAGCGATGGCCTCC